ACTACGAGCCGTAAAAGGTTGGGAACCACTGAATAGCAAAAAATGAGATTATGAAATCATGGCTCCCAAAAGCAGAACAAAACATTTTTGGTCAAAAAGTTAATATGGGAGCGAGATTCCAAACTTGGATTAAAACAGTCCCAATTACAATATATATTTCTGATCAAATAGCTCATGTGATAAGTGATTCCACTCTTTATTAATCTAGTGACCTCCCACCCTCAAAAAAATAACCTAAAATAAAATTCAATCACCTGTTATGGCATTTTCCATGCAACAGCGAACGTCCGAACTTTGAGAAAGTTGTCACATCATCAACGTCTAATACATTGGATTCATCGTCCAAAAGCCTGTGAAGAATAAAATATTCATTTAGATCAGTTTTATTTTAATGGGCCTCAGTGGCTTAGTAGTTCAAGAGTTAGACTCCGCTCCGTCAGTAATGTAGATCAGTGGTTCCCAACCTTCCTACCCCGGCGAACTGGTAAAATTAAAATTAGATATACTCGCGGACCGGCAAAAAAATGAAAGGACCGGAACAGAGAATAATACCCTATATTTACGCTGAATAATGCAATGCTGGGCCCTCAACATGCTTCTAGAAATCTAGACAAAAAAAGGTTCACTTAAAAACATTCACATGAAGAAAAATTATGGAATAAAGTGCTGATATTTGCATAATGAGAAGCAGTGCTGGGCACCCATTATGCATGAGAAAGGCACATAACATGTACATACAAACATTTCACATAAAAAACATGTACATGCCAAATCATGTACAAACACAATTAGGTCTAGTGAGAGTTCTGCTGCTGTTTCGTTTCTAATATAGGATTGCAAACGAGGCCTCAAAGAAGTTTCTTGAACATGTAGCTCTGGAGCAGTGTACAGCCGATTCTTTTCAATTACGCATAGGTAACTGGTTGAAAATACAGACAACAGTTTGATGGCACCATTACTTAGCGATGGGTATTCGTTATCAAATATTTCTAAAATTGTGACAGTGATTCTCATTTAAATCTGGACTGTAAAGTAGAATAACCATTTTGATCAAGTTTTTTTTTTCATCGGGTTTATCATATTAATGCTTCTGCAATTGATCAACGCTTCAAACGAAATGAATATACATTACAATAAAAAAGTCGACGGTAACTAGGTCCCAGACTCAAAATACTGGAAAAGATCTCTGCGGCTCATGGATTTTTGCGGGTCTCGTGACAACAAGTTCATATATTACCGGAAAATTATACTGTTCTTGAGTGTTTTCTGGTTTAAACAAAGAAATATACATAACGTTTTATATTGATGGTCATATTAACGATTTTTATGAACTTGCCTTTTTTTAATCAAAACCCTTGATCTTACACCCATGATATCACAGCTGCTATATGCATCAAATTCTCGCATATGTCCATCTTCGAAGGAATGTGGATACAGTATTTTGCCTTAAAAAAAGTAGGTCAGTATAAACGGTTAACAATTTGAATAAGTTCGCAAGTTCGCATAATTATCTTGTAGATGATAATTATATTTGAAAAGATTGCAGGACTCCTCGCCGCTGTAGGGTGGTTCACATAACCGCTGGTCAGTTACCTCTACCTTCAAGTCCATGCAATCGGAATAATTGTTTAACTAATCCCATATCTGACATGGACTGGTAACCGGACGAGAGGCCGTGGTTTGCCATATGGTTAAGCAGTAGGCCTATATCAATTTTCCTCTGCCCTGGCATAAATATGTGAATGCCTAACCTATCCTAAGTATCTCAACAATTCTAGTACTGGTACGGGGAGTTGCAGTTCTTACCACTTCATGGCAGCTCCTGCCACAAACGTACCGTGGCGTCTCCCCCATGGTTTTATCACGCTATTACAGTATTACCGGTATGTTTACAAAGTCATGTACAATATTTTAGTCTATCATGCGGAATTATATCTACTTAAACCTAAACCTAACCCCAAAAACATCAAAACTGTATTCATAAGAAAGGCGTTCCAAATTATCCAATATTTATCATCCTCAGGGGAAGTCCTGCTATTACAGCTGACATGCCGTGGTTACGGCGGTAAAATTGGTGGTATTCGATTTGCTGTCGTAAAGACCGCCGGTCGCTATTGGTTTGTGACAGCTAAAAAGTCAGTCGCCGTAGGTCAGGGTTTGGTCTTAGCGGCCATGGTTTAGAAATCCCGCCATGGTTTTGCGGCAGCTCTAGACGCCACAAAATACTTGATATTTTTGACCAGAAAGGTGGTGCAATAGCCTAACCTAAGGTAAACAGAAACAAAGAACACAGATCAGAAAACGGGGACGATAACGGTATAATACCAGCAATTAAATTTAAAAAAATCCGCTATTTACCGGAAATTAAAATCTAGTCGTCATGGATACGCTGCATGTTGCCTCCACGCGGCTGAATAATCTGGAGTCGTGTTTACTAATAACTCGTTTATCAATATTAACACTTGTTAATGGTCAACATTACATTTTGTAATGTACTGCACAAAAAATTTCCAGTATATGGTACAATTATGAAGAATGTTCTTGTAGTCATTGACAAATAGTTTAAAGTTCGTGTTTGCGATTTTTTGTTCTCTATTGCCACCTAGTGTATACCTGGATAACTTTTGCTCACTGAAGCCAGGCACATAGCTGGTCTTCTTGTCGCATTGATAACCTATGCGTATGAACTTGTTGTAATCACAACTACATAATCTGAGAATGGTCAAATGGAACGTGATTATACTGTAGAATGGTTAATGTAACCGCTGTTCGGTTACAGGTTCTTCTATGCTGCATAAATTATTGAAGCAGCAAGAGAAATTCTGATCCCCGACCTTTGAACTTTTCCATCAGTTTCGGCCTGTGATAGTCAACCCCCGTAATTTCCAGTTCAAGAAGTATTCCACGTTCAATCACATCTGCTCTATTCTGCATTTGAAACCAATAACTGGTTGACTTATACAATTCCCATACCTGACATGGATTGGTAACAGGCCAATCGGTCGCTGTATGGCATAGTCAAGTTTGTTTTACCCATCCAGTATAAATAATATACAATGTTTAACGAGTAATATTGAATACACATATTGAATATGGGGAAGAGGAGTCGCGGTGAACCAAAAATGGTTATCAAGCAGCGACACCGAAAGTGTTGACCTATCAGATGCCACAAGTCCATGAGCTTTGTACAAATAACTGGCTTACTATTCTCATACCTGTCCTGGACTGGTAAGCGGATGAGAGAACGTGGATAGCCATATGATATCTTATCAGTTTTTCTCTCTCCTAAGATAAATATTTGAATCCCGTCCTATAACTGGCCAACTAACCTTGTATCTTGTATTGACTATGACTTGACTATGACTATCTGACATGGATTGGTGGTTAGCCATATGATCAAGTTGTCATGTCAGTTTTTTCCGCAGGATAAACATGTACGTCCAATGAAAAAAGGTAAATGTTGAACTATCAGATGCCACGGGTCCAATGGCCAACCATTCCCATACCAGTACGCGTCATGGACTATTAACCGGACGAGAGGCTGTGTTTTCGCAATATGATTAATTTGTCTTAACGGCTTTACTCTACCCCGTGATCAATATCTAAATCCCATCCTATAACCACCAAATAACTGGCAATTTAATCTTGTATCGGACATGGACTATCGGTATATATAACGGAAATAGGACCAGAGACCGTGGCTAGCCATATGGTCAAGTTGTAATATCAGTTTCCCCTTCCCCAGGATAGATATGAAAGTTCAAGATTTGAAAAATGTAAATGTTGATGACCTATCAGCTCTTTGTACATGTACTGTTTACCGAACAAGAGTCCACGGTTCGCCATATGATTATTGGATTTCCTCTCTACACCAAATCCAATTATAAAAGTTGATCATTGATTACTGCCTAACAGTAGGAATCCATACAATATCTTCCAAATGGACTGGGTTTCGTTTTTTGGGTCACCCTATAATATGTGTGGTACCGAACTACATCCATTACTGATTGCAATGTAATAAAGTTCATGTTGCATCGTTAATTATTGTGAATAAATCTCAGGAATTTTGTGAAAATGCGTGACACGCTTTCAAGACCTTGGCGGCCCACTAGTGTGCCGCGATACAGTTAGGGAAACCCTGCACTAATCATTGTCCATGCGACTTTAGCGTGACGTCTACCACATTTAAGGGTGAGATCTGTCGCTACATTATTCCTTCTTCAGGTAGGCTACATATAGTGGTTGACGTCTCACAAAAGTCGCATCCATTTTCAACATGTCGAACTGCTAAAAACTAAAGTTCTAGGATATGCATTGCTGCTGCTTGTCCATTCGACATCATTCACTTTTTGATACTCTGATTTCTGATAGCCAAGGCTGCCAGCATCACCATGAAAGTCTTGTCGTAATAAACATTCAGGTTATCGAAAAATGGCAATTTCAAGTATTTGGCTTTGGATTGATTTTTCCTCTTCATTACGAAGAAATAAAAATAAAATTCCTTAGCTTTAGCTATATGATGAATGATGCCCTACCGTCCAAACACTAACTCAGGTGAATAGTTGCTAGTAAAATATGGGTCGATTTCCTCAACCAACCTACCAGTTGAATTCTGCTAGTCTCTCACACAAAATTGAACTCCATGAGATCCGAACAGCATGTAACTCGCAAAATTCTAGTTGTAGGCAATCAGGCTCTTGGGCGTGGAGAGCCCGGTTCTATCACATTGATTATTTATTATACAGATGCTACAACAATCTACAAAATACTACATAGAATGAAAAAAATTCGAATCATTAGCATTTTTGACTGAAGACCTGTTAGATTATGCAGGCCAAAGTGTTATGTTGATCATTTCATTTTGTAGCAAGCTCTTTAATGAATTATTTCACATTTATATTTTTAAATTTATGGGATACACAAAATTTTTTTTATTTTTTGCTGTTTTTTCAATTTTTTTTACTTTTTCATATTTAGGGAAATACATGAATTTTTTTTTCATTATTTTTTGACTATTTTCACTTTTTTTTTACTTTTTTAAAACTTAGAGGAACACACGGAGTTATAGAGAATAATGATGAACAAGAAAAGCGGATTGCAGTACATGAAAATTTAAAAACATGACTCACACAAAACAAAAAATGGAAATTCGTAATAGGCATTGCAAAACAAAACATCATTGCAATATTCTACATGTATCACTATTAAATATTACTAGAATTCATAATGGACATTTCTTATTACTTTACATGGATTAGGGGCAAAGTTACACTGGCCTCCAGTAGAGTCCTCAGCTACCAAGTTTTCGGAACACATTATCAAACCACAACACTGAGCCAAAAATCAATCACTCCAGTCCAAATGTTATTTTAACAGTCAAGAAATGCATAATTTATGACGGGTTTGCCAAATCAGAATATCATAAATTCATAGGGATGTTCTAAAATATACACAGAAATAATAGATATCAGTGGTTGACAATAATTGAAAAACATAAAAGCAAAAGATAATAATGCATTTCACAACAAAAATTAATAAAAATTCGAACAATGGCTATTTGCAATGAGTTACGATATAGGTTAATAACTTGGATTTTTTTTTATTTATAATTTTTATTGATTTTTATAGTTTTTATTATTTTTATATATTTTAAAATGCAAGCAAAAATGTGGAGTGGCAAAGTAAACTGATATACAGCAAGAATAAGTACAGCAGTTGTCAATTATAAGAAAAAACTCAAAACCTGACCTAAATAATGAAAGTTGTTGACATACCATAAAATTATAATTACACAAAAATTTCTGAATGAGGGCGACATAAAAACAATACACATGATATCTGGAAAAGCTTAAAGTGAGTTTGTTATGACTCACTAAAAATAGTACATAAGAAGCTAAAGCATTAATGCAGCACCCAACCTAATTTGTAAAACTAAAAGGAAAAAATAATAAAAAAATTATGAAATGACAAGAATTTGTATGACAAAACATGCAAATCAGGATTTGGTGCAGAATTTTACAAAATGCTCTGAGAACAGTTCAAGAGGTCAAATCTTGTGAGGGATGACCTAAATTGCTGAAATCGTTGCTGAAGGGTGGTGCATATGACTAAGAGTCAATTACTATGTTTTCACAATCCAAGCCTATGCAAAATAAATCAGCATTTCACACAAAAAAAAGTTATAAAATTTTTCCCTTAGATCTACTATTATTGGACTAGACTATCTAGCCTTTAAGAGTTAATATTTCTAATATTTAAGCTTTTCACTATATATGCATGTCCATAATGTGTTGCAGGATACCACAGGATCATTCGTCTTTCAGTCTGAGATTATTGGAGAAATTTAATTTTAAATATACGACGTAACAGTAACATTTGATGGAACATTTGTATCTTAGCAATGTCTTTAGAATGTGGTCAGTTTGGGAAAGTTCTCAAGATCATCGGCATCTGAAAAAAAAAAAAATTTTCATCTAGATGACTCTAAAAATTGTGCTCAGTAGAGAAATATCATAACAATTTTTTATGTGATTTTTAAATAAGGCATTAGATTAGCAACAATTACAATTCTTGAATATTGTTTGTTAGAAGTGAACTTGAGGGAAAACCTGGTTGAATTCCTGCAAATAAAATAATATTTCAGGGTAATTGATCGTTCGCAGATATGTGAAGACCACATTCAAAAAACGAAGGCAATTACTCACTGTACAGTGAACATAGCAAAAATAGGAGACAAAATGAGTTATTGTTTCACCCAATACACTGGTTCTCAACCAGTGGGCCATGTCCCACTGCTGCGCCACGAAAAGATTTTGAGGTGGGCCACAGAACTATTAAAAAATGTTAGTTTTATTTGTATCACTATCTATAATTTTGATTGTAGTACCAATGATTGATGATGTTGTTTTCTGCTACTGAATGGTAATTTTCATTCTAATTATCAAAGGTTGCGAACCACTGATCTAATATGACTCCACAAACTATTTCGAGAATATAAAAGACAAGAAATCAAGTTTGCTGTTTTAGTAAATGGTATTTCACGTACCGTCATCACCTTCATGTTGTATTGGTTTATTCTATTGCTTGGTTTCCACCTACTGCACCAGCTTCTTCTTGTTCATTTTGCCCCTTAAAAAAATTTCAATTTTACTATCTAGCATATTTTTCCTAAGTGATTCAAGAGTCTTGCTGCACACTTGCTGCACACAAAGCATCCTTTGTCAGCAAGACACACAGTATTTGGTGCGTCATTTTCAAACCTTGGCAGTGGTAAAACTTATTTTTGTTACGTAAAAATATGCTCTATAGAACTTGCCCAGACTCAAATATACTGTATGTGTATATTGTATTTTTTGTGGTATGTTATTAAATTCACCCAGTTGGCCCACCCATTCACCCATTAAATTCAACCAATATGAGATGATATCGACTACTCGGAACGCGGCGATCAACGAGTTGACCAGCTTTGCTATAGAGCAGTGGTTCCCAAACTTTTTGAAAAAAATTCCATGACGTACCCCTCGAAATTTTTTTAACGATTCCCGGTCTTGTGCACCAAAACATTAAAAGATCACAACAAAAAAATCAACGCGCCGTATAGTGAACCGAACAAAAGAATATAAAGCGCAACTCTAATGTGAGTGTGACATCCAATCTGTTTCGATATTTGGTAAAAGGGCAGCGTTAGCTACAGTACTGCAGTTAGTATACCTGTGGTGACATGAATTGAACTCTCTCTGTGATATCACAGGCCCACAGCTCTGTGACATTACAATGGGGCAGCGTGATCGAAACAGAAAGTGAAGAATCAGTGTCTCTAGCGGTGATTGCAAAACAGCAAAAGGCGACAAATGTGTATTTGTTTAGTCACTCAATTCAAGCATTATCAAGCTAATAGCCATATTACAGATTTGTTTCGCGGACCCTCCAAAAGTGCTTCACGGTCCCCAATAGGTCCGCAGACACCAGTATAGACCCCATAGAGTATAGAGTGTAGGCTTGCACGTAATTTACAGATTTACGGAATTACGGAATTATTTCGAGTTACGGAAGGGAAGTTACGAATTACGTAAAGTCGTAATTATTGGTCGAGCGCTTTCGCGATTGAAACGAGCTCTCTTCAAAGCAGTCAATTCCGTCGATTGTAAAAAGTGAAAGTTTAAAAAGAAGTTAAAGCTTCGGTATTTGCAGCCGTTTTTCTCACTTTTCTCTCTCTTGCCAATACGTCACCGTGATAATTAATGTCGCGCTTATCAAACAGCAATATGACGACGGAAGAGAAATTGCGTAATGAACCAACGCAACTTCGTCTTTTCGGCATCGGTAAAGCGATTGAGACGGCAGAGAAACAACAATATGACGGGATTTCCCGCGATCCGGTAAAAATCCTTTGCGAACCGTTGACGGTCCGCGGACCGGCGGTTGGGAAGCACCGTTTTAGAATACTTAAATCAAAACCAGAATCCTATTCTATTTTTATAGTTACCGTATTTAAATAGTGGGATTTCTCCACCACAATGATTGAAATTAAAAAAAAAGCTAAATTGTAGCCTAAATGTTTAATGTATAACTATCTTTATGCAGTATTTAATTGAAAATGTCCTGATCATTGGATTATATTTAACCAAGGCAACGAGATTTAAGAACTTCGACGATCGTTTTTTTTTGTTTTTAACAGTTCAATATTCTCAATTTAACTACTATCAAATATCAAGTATGAGCCAGTGTGTTTATTCTGTGCGAGAACCATTTTCAATTACAAAACCTTGATGTTCTGTTACCGGTTTTATCGTTTTATATCAGTCCGGACTTGTCCTTGCTCAATATATTTTCCACAATGCCTCGCAATATTTCGGCCAAATATGATTAACTGTCTTTACCAAATGCGGCAACTTATTTTGATTCTTGAAAACCACCGACACTCGACCAAATTTGTGTCAATCTTGGCCGATAGGATCGTCGACTTGAGTTAGAAAAATAAGTTAATTTTTTCGTGCGTGCAAAATAAATGTCACAATATGCATTTTTTTGCGATACAACTTTGTATTTTCGGAAAAGCCATATCATATAAGTACGGTATTTAAATTATGCGCAAATAATTAATATTTGATATAAATTTGTTGCAAATAATGTTACAACATTTAGGCCGCGACAGGATTTAATGTAAAATGATATGTCTTAACATCTGTCACCGGCGTGTAGTACTGCCAGGAATATGAAAACCCAAACTCGATGTCCCAATCGAAAATGAAGTGGATTCAATTGGTTGTTATGATAGGTTTAAATGTGTGAAAAAATATCGCAATTACGGGGTCATTACGTAATCGATTTGGCCGTAATTACGGAATTGATTTTTGTCAATTACGTGCAAGCCTAATAGAGTGATTGCTGTAAATCCCAATAGTCGCGATTTAATGCATACTGTAATTCTTACTTGCTTTGCTTTAATTTTAATATCATGCTGTAGTCCAGGGGTGTGCAAACTTTATTACAGAAGGGCCAGATACAAGTAACTGGGTAAGGCTGCAGGCCGTGCCATTGTCAAGTTTTCTCCGCAGTGTGTATTTTGCAACAGAATTTTGCTAGCTAGTGTTGCTAATATCGCAGTGGCACCCAGGTACTGGTACAGTATAGGCTTTGAGGCGTAAAGAGATTGGAATTGCTCGCACGTACCAGGTAAATGAAACTAAAAACTCGTTTCGTGGGCCACGGGCCACAATTTTCACACCCCTGTGCTAGTCGATTAGGATATAATCCATGACAAAACTGGAATAAATTGTTACAATGAGTTGGGCAGTCTATCGTCACCACAATATGATTCTGACTGCCAGTGGTTGCTCTTATGTATACTCGTATGTGTATTATTTACAGAAGTCCATGACAAAAAAAAATGAAATCTACATAATCCTGGAAATATACCTTTTATAACATTCTTTGACTGCGTTTTGATGCCAGAGTTTCCCCATTCATCCTTGGCCCAGACTTGGAAACAATATGTTTTACCAAGTGTAGGTGACTTCATTCTATACTGAGGAACTTCTGCAGTGTGAGTCTCTCCAAGTTTCACATCATCACAGAAGATTTCTATGTTGTATAGAACGTTTCTGTCAGATACTGCATTCCAAGTCAAAAGAATGTCGGATCCACTTCTTTGAGATGAAACATTTTCAATTTGCGGCAAAGCTAGAAATAAAGTAGTGAGTTAGTAAATATAGTAATCAGTAATTTATTTCTTCAACATGCTGAAAGTACAAACTATACATACACAAATTATAGGAAATATGGCGATGGCGATACGACCAGTGGTGGGATTCAATTTTTTTGTCAGCCGGTTCCATCACAAAAGTCATATTTTTCACACGGTTCTGTTACAAAAAGTCATTGAGAGTAACCAGTGATGCTAACCGGTTCGCTGTTCTAATGAAATTTCGTGAGACGGTTCTATAGAACCGGTGCGAACCAGCTGAACCCCACTACTGGATACGACCAAAGGTCATCAGAGTCAGCCACCACCCATTTCAGATAAATAATTATTGAGAAAAAAAATATACAGTAACCGTCGACTAGTTAACTACCAAATATTTAAACTGTGTATACTCTCAATACAGATGATAATAGCCAGAAAAAATAAGTGAATTGTAGAAAATTATTTAAAATTAGTTTGAAAATTGAAAGATAGTAAGCAAACAGTGGCAATGTGACCATTATATGATGAACAGTCACATGTTTTAATCACTATTGAATATTATAACTATACTCTAGTAATCCTTATCAAGAAAATTTAGGTAACTTGTTTTAAATTTCACATAGGAAGCCAATCTAATAGATTCAGGAATTTGATTCCAAATTTTTTGGACCAGTGCACTTGATTGTCAGCTCTTGGAATAAAATATGAATTTCATAAAGAGGATCGTGTATTATACGAATATTGGCTACTTTAATCGGTGAAATATGACGCAAACGATTCAAGTAAACTCGCTGAGGAGAATTTATGCATGATTTTCCCTATTTCATAGGGAAATAAGTCTTTCAGTTTCAAAATAGTGGACTAAGTCTAGTTCGCAACGGCACATTTGATAGTCCTGACAGCGCGGTTTTGATGCTGAACCCCATAAGACAATATCATATTGAATGGAAGAATGAAAAATTGCAAAATAAACAGTTCGTAAACACTCAATGGCACATAATTTTTGAGCCTGATTAAAATACCAACAGCCCTTGACAGTCTATGCACAAACATGGATTCGGGTATCGGGTTCCTCATGTTTACTTTCTTTCAAAGACTGGCCACTACGAGACTAGTATAAGTTTATTTCGACTCAATAATCAGCATAGGCTTATTACAGCTATTAGACGATGAAACAATTGAATATGGTAAAATGCATATCTTCCCGGACTTCCCAGATAGCAAGGTCTGTTCAACTGTTTGTCACCAGTTGGGAGAAAAATTTATCGCCGAAGTAAGGCCGAGATCGCCATGGCGACCAATTTCGTCCCTGTTCTGTTCAGAAAGTATGTAGAACAGAACACAGTTTGAGAAACGCTGCACTAAAGTATTTGAAACAATTGATTGTAATATATGTCAGTGGTTCCCAAATGACTAGTTTTTCACAAGATTATTGCATTGTTCAATTTAAACTCATTTAAATAAAAAAATATTTGTTTTAAAAAATGAAATAAATTAACAAAATTAACATTGAGAAAGGGAAGACTATGTTGAAATTTTAGCTGCGTTATAATAATATATAATTTAATATTTATAATACAGTCACACAATCATAAATTGCATTAATGCAATGCGTGGGGATTTGTAATACAGAATTATAAAAACTGTTAAAATTAACGTTGAAAGAAGGAAAAACAAGTTTCAATATCGGAAAAAATACCCTGATTCAAATTAAACAGATAATCCGATGCATTACAGGAAGTAAATTAAATTTTAAAACCTATGGACTTATTCTTTCTTTTTCAAAGAATCTTTTTTCTTCTCAGGGGATTTTTCCTCCACAGCTTTTTTCTGAGGGGATTTTTCCTCCTCAGCTCCCCCATGCGCAGAATAATCTATCACGCAACTTGTGATGATCTTCTCAATTCGATGGAATGGATCAAAGTTGACGCCAAACTTGGAAGAAGCCTGAAATAACGAGAATTTGTTAAACTTCTTATATGTAGAGTTGGTCTAAACGTGTCATAGGACTTGAAATGCCTGCTATATAACCTCTAATTAACCTGCATGAGTTCGTAGGTTCGAATCCTGCAGGGAATTCCAAGGCCAGCGCTATAAATAAGTTTGTAATTTTTTTTTAATGGGAAGACTATTTAATGGGAGGGAATAAATACATAAATACATAGGTACAAATACAAGGCAAGAATTTGTTTCAGTGATATGCCCAGGTAATGTGTTACCAGATATTCGAATAGTAAACTGCAGCTCTAATATTTTAGTATTGATACAATATTCAAATATTTCGCCTGCTCTACTCAGTATTTTTGGATTTGATTCATTATGCAAATAAACTATTTTATTTCCAAGGTAAATCAAAACTTGGCTGGTATTTGAGTTTGCAACCCACAAAAAACTTTCCAATGTGAAAGTGGATTGCAACCATAAAAGACATTAGGCAGGCCTGCTGTAGAGAATAACCCTTAACCTGGTACACATTACGGGAGTATCCAATTGGCCTGGCCGTATTAGAACGCAAAAAGGTAAAAACACAAAGTGTTAATCTATTTCACTCAAGTTCAGCAGGCCATATTAAATCATGGGCTAATTGCCTATAATCTATTATATCTTACCGATATCAGGAACATCACAGTTAGTTGTAGAAGAACAACAGTGTTGAATGAGATCGGCAGGATTCCTAGGAGTTGTAGATTGTGAAGTAGAGAGAACAGAAGGCTGAGCTTTGTTACTCTGAAAAAAATAGGATATTATGGTAAATTGCCAGTAACTAAATTCAAAATTGTAAGAACGGGTTCTCTTTTGTGTCAAACTGGTTCCCTCATCTTAGAAAACCATTTCACGTTCACAAAGAGCAATTCAGAATTCTAGAACGGGTTCCCTTATGTATCAAGCTCACTAACAATGGGTTCTTTCATTTTAGAAAATGTATGAATGCCACTATCAGAGCTGGAGTTGGAGCAAAGCCTACCGGGTTAGATGGAGCCAGAGTTACCACAAATTTTGGTAGCGCTAGCTCATAGCATCTTATTAACTTTTATTAATTTAGTGATATTTAGAAATTGGAGTCAAAACAGTGAATTTTGTTTTATGGTGAAATCTATATTTAAACTCTTTTGGAATTGTAAACTTGATTGTCCTGCTCGAATGTGTCAGAAGTTTGCAATAAATTGAAACTCCATAGCCCAGTCACTAACTGCCGTAATAATTACCGTAATTTTTATGTCTCAATTTGTAACAAATCAATACTCACATCGCCAAATGAATAGATTTCACGGTCTCATGATTCCATTGTTTCCTCACAAACGTTGCAGCATTTTTAACGAACCCCCCTCCGCAGGCTCCAAACATTCCAAGAATAGTACAGATCAAGAGAGAGTCAGGGAAAGCTCCACGACCGAGTTTCACTCCTAAATTATGAAAATAATTGTTTGAAATAACAAAAGAGTAGAATTCTAATAATTGAACATACGTGGAGATGAGCACAGCGAAATAAAGTGTTGTCGTGTGAGAATCGTAGTGGAACAAAATTATTTTTTGAAGTGAACAATACCTTCAGAAATACCTGAATTACGAAAACGTTGTTTGGAATAACAAGAGCACAACGCTTTGCATTCATACCATCACGCAGCACATGTATCAATGCTTAAATATATGCTGGCCTTAACTGAGAACCGAGACTACGGAAAAAAACATGCACAGTGGAACACAGCGTATTTTCGTGTGTCATGAAATAAAGTTCTTACAAATTAAATTTGTCCGGAAATCTGAAAAAATGCATTCCAAACTTTTAAACTCGCATCGCCTTCCAATGCATTAAAATTTTCCGCGACCCCTGTTTACGTTAAAAATGCTATGGTGACAACAAAGTTATATGGATCACAAATGTTTGGCCATCGGAGGCATGGTCTTAATTTCGCATAGTTACTCTTTAGCATTAATGATAAAATTCGGCATTGTTTTGCAAGCGTGACGTTTCTCTGATCCTATGTATTGTCTCGCGATATATCTCGCGAAATCGCGATATTTATGTTTTAAACTAGTTTTAATAACTGTGCTTTAAATGAAAATAACGGAGTACAAGAGTATTTTGTTTTGTAATGAAATGCATTAAAAACGCACAATTGGCTTTACTTAGTCCGGCCCGCCACTGCATTTCGAATATTCAATGTGGCCCGATAGCAAAAATAATTGCCCAGCCTCGTGTTAGGGCATTGTAAGGTCATAGATAATAAATTGGACTCGGGTATAGGCTTTGCAATGCAAATGGATCAAAATCACTCGCACATACTAGAATAAACAACTATAAAATTGCAGGCCGCATTATTTTTCCTTGTGCGCCGCATTTGGCCACAGACCGCAGATTGCACACCCCTGAGCTTAACAATAAAACAAATCCATACCTAATTATTGGATAGAGGAGTCAGAGCAGGTTTTCCTACACAAACACTTATGATCACCCCTCCACCGTAGCAACAAGCTATCGACATCAACCATGTGGCAACTGGCTGTTTCCTTGCCTTGTCGACATCTGAGTTTAAAATAATTTTCTTAAAGGGCTCTGTGATTGAAACTTAGGGGCTTTCCGAGCTATTCACTTACTTATTAAAATACTGAATTGGCTGATTTTGTGACTGCCCAAAAAGCTATAACGTCATCAATAAAATTTTACAAGCGGAGTCATTAAATAAAGTAATTTTAATTTATTCAGAAACAATAATCGGCAAATAACAATTGTGTTTTTATTTTTTGAAACTAATTGTGGGGCTTTGTACTAACTAGTCAACTACTTCCCAGGTTCCATAACACTACAAGTTTGAGAACCCCTACACTAGAGTATATCTCAGTTAAAAAGCATGCAATAGATTCATTTTGGGATTCTATGTTTTGCCCAAAGTATTATTATTTAGGAGGTATCAACTACTGATAGAGAATAGGCCTTCAGAAAGCATCAAGACATCCTTCTGAGTTTGCGGGTCGGAACCAGTAGTGGGATTCAACCAGTTCGCACCGGTTCTATAGAACCGCCTCACAGAATTTTATGAGATCTGCGGACCGGTTGGCATTACTGAAAAAAACATAACTTTTTGCAATGGAACCGGCTAAAAAAAAATATGACATTCGTGTGATGGAACCGGCTGACAAAAAATTTGAATCCCACCACTGGTCGGAACCCCATTTTTTGAAACGTAAAAAACTGTCTATATATGATCAACTCACCCCAGTCATTCCGTACTCCGTAAATTACCAGAGTATAATGAGCAATCTCTATGATTGTTGCCAGATATACTATCAAGTTATTCGTTGCGTCTGCTATAGATGAAACATCCATTATGAAATACTGAGAAACAATGAAAAATGGAAAATTAGAAATGGGTGTAGTATAATTCAGTATGAATATACAGTATCTAGATTTGAAAAAAATTATCATATACCGTATACGGTATATATATACGTGCCGGCAGCGGCGCAGCTAGCAATAGTGGGAAGATGTTTGATTTGAAAATTTTATCTTTTACTTGCAAAGAGAGGCGAGCTACACGCAACTATGAAATTTATTAAACAGCATTTCGCTATGAAAGCCACAGCCCGACAGCCGGTGTCGTGAATTGCAGTTTGTTTCAATTTCAAATATCCTTATATTATCTTAGAAACGTGAAATAACGAGTATATAAAAACCAATGACAACACACTGAAGTAAAATCTTGAAATTCAAAAATTTCCTAAACCTTCCACTGTTCCACTAAGGCTCAAAATATTACACGTAGACTATTTCTGTACTGCAGTTATGGCAAACTTTTGAACTGTCTTTCTACCATCCTCCCAGAAGTAACTACTAAAGAAGCTTCTTATTCTACCAACTTCAACCGCCTTTAATAAACACAGTATATCGGTATAGCAAATAAAACTGACCAACGCAAGGTCGCGCTTTAGACCGGCGAAGTCAGCAGCTGCACTCAGAACAGCTGTGCTGTTGACAATATGCGGGGTCAAATTGTGTGCGGCGGAGCGTTACCGATAAGTCCCACTGAACATGGACCTTTCCCCGAGCATCGACTACGGTACCGGTACCTTGTTTACTTCGTGACATTGGCCAATCAGCAAGATGCACAAAGTGACGTAACAATGCCCCCTGCCTCAAAATAGACTCAATCACCAGTAGAATGCAAAAGATAGAAACAGTCCATGAAAATATAAAAACTGATATAGTAGACCTTAAATTATGCCAATCCACCATCACCAAAGATTTTGTTGAATCTAATCTAAAAATCAAACAGCTGCAAATGAATCTGAGAGATACTGACGAACTCTGCATCTGCCTAAAAAAGGAAATACAATCATTAACGAAACACCTAAATAAAATCGAAAGCAAGCAAAATGATCTAGAACAATATGATCGGCGGCTGAATCTTATCCTGAATGGGATTCCTATAACACCAAATGAAGATCCATTCCTGATAACGAAAAATATTGCCAAGAAAATCAATGTTCAACTTTGTGATACAGATATTTCAGCAGCCCACAGACTAGCAACAACTTCAGATTCATATACACCGGGAATAATAGTTCGTTTTTGCCGAATGAACAAGCGAGATGAGATCTATAAGAATAAGGCCAATCTTTCGAAGGAAAAGCAAGGTAATGAAATTTTCATTAACGAAAATTAAAAAAAAATAACAAATGATAAAGACCTTGACAAAATTCGTTAATGCTCTCCGTGCCCTTATTTATGGTAATATTTTCATGTGAGGCTCCATTTGTAAAGCGAAATATGGCAGTACACCAATCTATAATTAGATGCCTTTTACCAAAATTATGACAGAGTGCAAATTTTGTAACAAAGATTGTTCTGGTTATTTGGATAGCATTCACTGTCAAATTTGTCGCTACTGGATTCACTTTGAATGCTCACAGCTGACCTCATATCAAACTAGAAACATGAATAATGATTTCAGTCCCTTTTATTGCAAAGTATGTATAGAAGAAAATTTGTCCACGCCGTATGACTGCAACATTCTTTCTGATATTAATGACAAATTTATGTATCGTTATGAAAATGTGCTGCTGCCAGAGTATTTTCAAAACTTTTTTGTCAAAATTTCAAATATCCATCCATATGAGACCAGGAGTACATCAAATAAATTGTATTTCACCCCGCGATATCAATCCTCATGCATGAAGAAATCGCTCAAGCTGGAAGGTATTAATGTATGGCAAAGTATTCCACATAGTATGAAACAGTGTTCCCCACAATTATTTGATCGCAAACTAAAACAACATTTATTAGCGGATTATAATGGGATGCAGTGACGTTCAAATCTCAGTGTATGCTATCAGATTCATAAAATGGATAGGAAATCACCATTTTATAGATGTATGTCTCTGTGAAAATTATTGAAGATACTATTATATATAGTCTGAAGTGTTCATATGTACTATATAGCTTTGGAAATATGGTATTTTAAATTTTTCACCCATTCATAGAAACTGCCTCATTTCCTCATTTTCACTATTTGATTTTTGTCGAACATAAAGTAAAATTAAATTTGAGGAAATTATAATTAGGCTTACGCCCTTCTTAATTTTTCACTTCTTTTCGCATTTTATTTACTATTAAAAAAAAGTATAACCTGCATAATCATGCGATGTTCTTTTTTTCTTGGAATTTTCAATCTTTGATTGATACCACCCTATTTGCAAACTAAAACAGCATTTCAGCGGATCATAATATGATGCAATATCATGCAAATCTCAGTGTATGCTATCAGATTTATAAAATGGATAGGAATTCACAATCTTATATATGGATTCTTCATATGTCTTTGTGAAAATTATTGAAGATACTATTATATATAGTCTGAAATAATAATTATATGTACTATATAGCTTGGGAAGTATGGTATTTTTAATTTTTCACCTATTCATAGAAATTGCCTCATTCTCATTAGCCCGACGCCCTTCTTATTCTTTCTCGCATTTTTAATTACTATTAAAAACATGATCTGCGTAATCATGTGATGTTCTTGTTCCTTGTAATTTTTATTTCTATTCCAATACTTTCGGGGAATTGATTTCTGGGGCCTCTTAACCGGGCTTAAAACTCAAAAATTTATATTTCTTCTATTGTAATTATGATGCCTGCTTTAGAGTGTCCTGTCTTGGTAGAATCTTACCTTAGGGGTCGGTTGACCTTGGAAGTCTTGCCCGTCCCCTTCCGTATACATTTTCATGCTTATTGTTATTTGCTCATGCTTATTGTATTATGTACTTGTATCGGAAATAAATCATTATCTATCTATCCGCTCAGACACTTTTCTCACTCAGACAGATTTTCAAGCGTGGTTGTAAACATTACCTCGTTTTTGCGTTTTTGAACTCTATTCGTTAGTTTTCAGTTGTGTTTCGGAAACTTAAATATAAATCAGATATTTCAATGGCCACTCTGTCTTTCTAGGAAATTTAATTTAATTGCAGTAATGAAAATTAGTGTAGAAATTGCTGTGATAGACTAGCCTGAAATTCTTTACCGGTACTTTTAAAAAACAGATCGTTGTATGCGATGAATCATAATGGTTTGAAACACATACCCCATTTTACGGGCGCCAACACACAAATGCACCCTTAAAATAGCCTCGGGAATATTGCAATGGTAAAGTATAGGAAGAATATTCCGGGGTCAAAGGTCGGGGAAAGGTGCATAGCTCTCAATCAACCAATCAATTTTATTTCAATCACTCTGATAGGAACAAAACAACAACAAGCGGACAAATAAAACACAGACGACCTGGAGGACGGGCATAACTTAATAAAAAAGTTATAAACGTACAAGTACGTGCCCGTCCACCAAAAGCAGTCAAAAGAACACAATAAAACAAAGAAACGATGTAAAATCGGGCAATTACAGTACCTTAGGATAGAATTTACATATTTGTCCTGGGGAGAGGAAACCCGATAAGACGACTTAATCATAAGGTGAACCACGGCCTCTCGTCCAGTTACCAGTCCAGGTTGGTATGGGATTAGTTAGTTATTTGTTTTCGGAAGCATGGACTTGATGGTGGAGGAAGCCGTAACCGACCAGCGATTATATGAACCACCCTACGGTGGCGAGGAGTCCAGCAATCCTCTCGCACATGATTATCCCTGCATGCGATGCGAACCTACAAAGAGTAATCAGAGATGAGGTGGCGAGCGTATTCCTAACGCTTAGCACGATGCGCCACACCGCCAAACCTCTCAAATGAATTTTAAAATGTGAGACGTGTTTGTATCATAACCGTGCTTTTCCTGCAAAAATATGTAATAAAAAACACTCGTTGACGTATTATGATAATGCTGTGGTTCAATTTCATTGCAAAAAAACAGTGACAAAAAATTGTTACTGAAAAAAAAAACTCTGTAAATGGATTGAATGTTTCATAACAGTCCATGCACAAACGTAGATTGGGGTATCGGGTTCTTCTGTTTACTTTCTTTCAAAGACTGGCTACTACGAGACTAGTATAAGTTTATTTCGACTCAATAATCAGCATAGGCCTATTACAGCTATAATCAATCAATCAATCAATTTTATTCGGTCACTCTGATACAAACAAAACAACAACAAAGGGCAAACAAAATACAGAGGACCTGGAGGACGGGCATAACTTAATAAAAAAGTTAAATACGCACAAGTACGTGCCCGTCCCCCAAAACAGAATAAAACAAAAACACGATGTAACATCGGGCAACAACTTATAAATTCAAATTAAAATGTGCGACGTGTATGTGCTTTTCCTATACAGATATATGGATTAAAACACTTGCTGACGAAAAATGGTGATGTTGTGGGCCTACTTCAATTATATTGCAAAAATAACACAGTGACAATTTTTTTTTTACTAAAAAACAAGCTTGGTAAATGGATTGGATGTTCCATAGCAGTCTATGCACAAATCATGGATTGGGGTGTTGGGTTCTTTTGTCGTTTTCGGTTGGTTCACTTTAAAATCATTGTATCCGTTCCAATGCTTCCAACATTAATATCGAATTTCCACGCACGACCACCATTCAGCCATTCCAACAGGTGCAGTGATCCCATCTTTTCTACGCTCTGTTCCATCATACACGACTAGATTCATAAAAAGATCGAAACCTCGCAATATACCCGTAACAAATCGTCCAACATTCAACTTTAAATCCAATCTTTTATCCATAAACTTCTTTAATTCTAGTGGATGGGCTTTGCTCACGTTGATAATGCGCGATACAGATTACAGATACCGAAACATACAACGCGTAGCATTCACTAGTCTTTTCAAGCTGACACGTCCGCACCCGACGACGGTCGGAACGGAGTACCGTATAAGACGATGGAATAATTGAATATGGTACTGCGTCGTATGCGGGTGCTCTGTAACGTCTGTGAAACAATCTGACCGATCTTTTCATGAGTTCCCAAAGGATCCAAAGCTTCGGAATAACGCAGAATTAAAAGTAAAATAAAATTCATAAACGTTTTTGACTGAAGACCTGTTAGATTATGCAGGCGAAAGTGTTGAGTTGGTCATTTCATTTTGTATCATAGAGTTATAAGCTCTTTTTTGAAATATTTCACTTTTACAATAATTAAAATAACATATCCAGCAGAAGTTAGGCATTTAAATACAGGAATCACTGAGAATTTCAAAAAGGAATTTTCATCATCAGTTACCGGTACTACTCACTCTATACCCGGGTGGTTTAAACCAAGGCCCACGGGCCACATGTGGCCCGCAGCTTCATAATCTGTGGCCCGCGTCACATTCGGAAAGTAGTCAAAGAATCGCATTTGGTGTTGTTTTCATATAAAATTAACCAGAAATTTTTTCGGACATATTGTTACATCACTAATGTCGCTGAATTGATTAGTGTTATAATCGGCTGAGGCAACTAGCGAAGTTGAATGATGTGCTTGGCAGTCTAAATTTTTTTTTAATCTTCTTGGTCAGAAATATATGCTAACAATTTTGGCATTATAATAAACTAAAAATCGATTGCGAATTTTATTAGCCTAGGTTGGCTATGCCTAATAACTAAATATCAACGTTATGGCCCAACAATATAATTCATGCCGTGTGTTTTTTGCAACCACCCTAAACAGTATTAGAAAAAATGCTGCCTATTTGTCAGAAAATTCAGTATTTACCCTCCTGTTAGCTTACATTCGGTAATTGATGAATCTGCAGTTATTTATAAGTTATTTCGTAAACATGAGTTTGAAAAGAAAGCTGAAGAAGGCTATTGCAGGTTTTAGTAAGTTTTTACATGTTTTAGCTTGATAAATGCCAAATAATGATCAATGTGTTTGCACAATAAAATGTTTGATTTGTATTGCACTGTTTACCTATATTCTTGGCATTATTGTGGCCCGCGAACAATGCAAAAATAATTTTGTGGCCCCCGGAGCCGACAATCTTGGACCACCCTGCTCTATACAGTACAAACAATGAGACTGATTTGAAAAGCAGATTTGTATGAAAATAACCACTTATAATGGGTGTTTTATCCACAAAGTCATACTCAAAAATCCCAATCAAAAGACAAAAATTAGAAACAATAACGACTCGACTAGTCTGTATCTCGACTAGATTGCTTTCAATAATGAGCTGTAGCATCAGGTTTGAGACATTGCACATAAACTGCAAATTTAGCTTCATAAAATTATCCATCTAAGAAAGTTGTTCTCAAAGTTACTATGCCTACGGACCCCTTACACCTCTCTGGGGCAATTGTGGACCCCCATAATTTCCAACCTAAAACACAATACAGAACATAGCATATAGCTATTTGGAAAACATTCGCATCAGCTGCCACTCCTCAAATTGCAACGCAAATTGTGTTACTGATTTATTGCAACTAAATGATGCCTATTAACCTTAGTGTGATCGCTGAAATGCGGTCATGGAACAAAGACATGATGCAAATATTTTATTTTAATGACGTCATCACACAGAAAAGATAAATACGAATTTCACAGAGACCACATAAATTTTTGAACAATCCTTAGCTGTAGAAAATTTTTTAGCAATTGATCCTGTAGTTAAAGACTATTTTTTCCCTACAAGAATAAGAAAAATACTAAGATATCCATAAGGCCCTTTCGTTTCGTGTCCAATAAGTAAGTGAAATTCAAAGAACTAAATGACACAACAGCGCCAAGAACAACGTTAGTCTATAACGCCAAAACTAACAGCTGTTCAGACACACCCACCCTACCCAATTATCCCTCGCAGACCCCAGTTTGAGATCTGAAAGAAATATAAACATAATATGACATTGGTTAATATCGGAAACCCTTTGATTCAATATAGTTTAATAATGAAGTAATTCAATGAAATAAAAACAAGAATTATTTTTGTTCAGCAAAAGAATCAAAAACGAAAGCTAATAGGCTACTCCATGAGCTCTGCCTGTGAGTACTTTAAGTCTCACACCAATCAGTATTCACTGGCATGTAATTTTACACTATAATGTCTCATGGTCTCAGTAGGTTTTGGGGCTTCAATGGACCCTCATATTTCCACTCATATATCAGCCTCCTCCTTAATTTTTGATTTTTTTTAGTTGTTTTTAATTTTTTTTCTATAATATAAAATTTAGGGAATACATGAATTTTTTTTAATTTTTATTACTGTTTTTTTATTTTTTTTTTGCTATTTTTTATTTTTTTTAAACATGAAAATTTTTTTATTTCTATTTTATGACTATTTTTAATTTTTTTTCACGTTTTAAAACATATGAAAACACACACGGTTATATAGAAAACCTATATACATTAGGGTGGATTGAGGATTGGATAAGTTGAATTATTCATCCAATTGTTATTTCATTCCAATACAGCAAGATTATGTACAGTGTTGTCAATCATGTAGCAAGAAATGCTGATTGCAATGCATGAAAATTTAAAAAGCTGACATATACAAAAAGGAAATTTACAATGAGCATTGCATGTCATTATAATATTCTACAATCTACATGTATTACTATTATAATATAACTAGAATTTATAATACACCCTATGTTTTTACTTCACATAGATTAGGGGCAAAGTTACTTTGGACTCTGGCAGAGTCCTCAGCTACCATTCTGCTCTCTTCGGTTAGGAACATAATGTCTAACCACTAGATGGAGCCAGAGTTGGAATTAATTTATTATAACAGTCGTAAAAAATGCCGACAAATCACAATATTTAATCATCTCAGAAATGTTCCAAAATATACACATAAATTGTAGATTTCAGTAGTTGACAATAATTGAAAAACATAAGACCAAAAACAGATGCATTTCACAACAAAAATTCGAACAATAGCTTTTTAAGACGAGTTACGATAAGGTTAAATAAAATTAGGCAATATCAATACATACAATAGAAGTTGTAACATTTATCTCATCACTAAGTAAAAGTCAAGTCAAGTTTATTTTTTTCCAACCAGTGAAATAAATATCGAACGACAACAAATTATGAGATGAAGATAATACACAGTTTTACTGGGGAAGTGAGGCCACGAGGAACCAAAGCTGGTTTAAAAAATGGAAATATATGTGATGATGGTAAGTACCGTACAAATTATCCAACTGGATATCACTTACTAGATATAGTGAATTTACTAAAGATTACATTAACACCAAGTCAAACACCAACTGATGGGAAATTTCCCAATTCTACTGACTGCTGCAATAATCGAGCAATCAAAATTATGCACTAGCTATAAATTATTATCGGGAAAACAATGACACGAATCGAGACAACCCAATAAACATGTGTTCTATTTATAATGTCATAGTCAAAAGTTCTAATCAAGGAGAAACAAAATACGAAAATGAAAATATGATAGCCACACAACTAGACTGTAAACTTTTTGATTATTAGACAGTTGAAAAATAAAGAAAGGCCAAGGACCATTAATAAGCTGTAAATATATTAGGCTGGAGATATCACACAATTACCAAATTTTTTTAAGAATTATTACCTAAGAGATGAGGGGATAATAAACCAAATGCAAAAACTGTGGTTTTATATTATTTTGTAATCAATGATAATATATTTAAATATGTATAAACTTTACATTGATAAATATCAGCAACTGATATATGAAAATTGGATAATGACAATGTAACTCAATGAAAAATAAAAAAATTTTAGGCTTGATAATTAAAATAAAATTCAATATTCTGTGAGATTCTACTTGGACTACTTCTGTCATGTCCCATGCCAATCGGTATATGCCAATGAGTGATTCTAAGTCTCCGGAGGATTTGTCACTTCAGTGATCACTCTTAACTTCGCTCATAGATCAGTCTCTTTTATTTCTGAGTGACCATTGAATTTTTTTTATTTTTGTTGTTTTTAATTTTTTTTTATATTTGAGATTTTTTTCACATCTTTTTTATACATGACACTTTTTTTTAATTTTTTTTTTATAATGTAGGGAAATATGTAGAGTTATAAAGAAAATCTATATATACAATAGTAGGGATAAGGGAGTTGAATTCACTGCATGACTCTTCCTCATACAATCTTTCTATTTCCGCTTTTGTATTATCTGTTGGTTTGAAAGGTTGTTCAACAAAGATCCAATTCTGAAAAAAAGGAAAATAATTTAATTAACAAAATTGAACAAACTTATGCAGTATTTTATTGAATCTACTTTGGATGTGGATTGTAAGGTGAAGTTTTTTAAAAATGCTCAATTGTGCTTGCAAAAGTCACCTCAGCACAAGCTATTTGACACAACGCCTAGATGACCCAGCTCTAACACAACATGAGATTCTGAAACAAACCTTCCTCCTCCACGAGCGGTTCATTGAAAGCCAATTCTGGTTCACGGGCTCTGTTTATACCAATGTTCTCATCTGCTGCTCTCTGTTCATTTCGTGCCTAAATAAAATAGCCAATAGTAACTGTCAGTGTAATATTTTTGTATCAATGTTTGCATCAAATTTTCAAATCGCTTTAAAATAGTTGAAGCGAATAATTTTAACATTAACATTACTTCCATTCAAATTTTGAGTAAAAACTGAATTAGGTGGTAAAGAGAGGTTCAGTCTCGGGTTGGTGTGTTTAAATGGGAAGTTTCGTCAGCAATTGTTTCACAAATAACATTATTGTATATTTATTGTATTTACTTACATCTTGTAAATGTTGTTGACGATGTTCATTTCCTTGGCCCATCATATCTACATCTCCGCCCACATTAAAATCTCCATGGAAAACGAAAGGTGGGGGTGCTGGCTTATTTTCATCTAAACATAGACGACTGACATTACTAATTTTTGACTTGGTTTGAAAAGGTTTGGGAATTTGTATCGATTGTGCAACATGAACAAAGCAAAAAAAACCTAAAATGCCTCTTTTTAACAGTAGATAACCTGTATCGAGTTGAATAATAATGACTTGAACAATGTGTTACCAAATTAACTAAAGCATATAATCTCACTAGGACCAGAGTCATAACTGAAACGTCCCCAGTAATAAAACACATATTATATAGGGCTGGTAGAAGTATAACTCACCTTTTAGTTCTAAAGGAAAAGAAAACTTTTGCGAATCATGTAAAATGTGATTTATCGTAACTTCGCATTTGATAACTCTTTCGGGGTATTTTGGCAGTTTGGGATTGAGAAAAAATGTGAGTTTACATCTCTCGGCTGTTAGAAATATTTGATCACAAATGAATTCTCTGTGACGGTGATCAAATCGTAGGTTTTCTCGTCCTCTAATAATTTGTAAATCTAAGTGAAGTCTGTCATTAGTTTTCAAAGCAACTGGATTGAACCAAATTGAAGCAAGCTGTGCCCCTAGTTCTCTGTAATGTGATCTGATGCTGGTTTCAGCAGTCTCACATTTATTATAAAATGTGAAATGAAATTCATTTTTGTTTGAAATATAGAGACAGTTATCCACAATGACCTGTTGTTTGCCAATTAGCCATTTTAGCCAATTCATGGCGACAGTGAATAGACTAAACTTTCTACATCGAAATTCTATGCTGTTATCCTTTGTGATTCGATCAGGTTTAATAATGTCCCAGTCAGTTTTGCTTGAGAAATGTAATATGTCAATTTTGTCTTTCTCTAGACCGATGCACCATGACTTGATTTGCACAATCGCATCTTTGAGGAATTCCGAATCTGCACTGATATCGAAAACTGGTGTGATACCAATGTATTCTTTGGGGCATATTGAATTGTCTATTCCAACTGACATCCAGACCTTTGTTTGTTTGTTGAAAGTTCCACTAGGAAACGTGACGTTGCATTCATTTAGTCTCATAGAGCCACCGGCAACTCCAACATTTTCCGCTAAAAAAATAGATTTGTTTTAAAATGCAATAAAAAATGAGGTGGTTCCAAAGTTATCTAAAGAACCCTTCCAATGTCATTAGGATATCCATATTTATCCCGGGGGAAGGGAAATGGACATGACGTTTCAATCGCATGGCAAACACGGACCTTGTTCGATCACCAGTCCATGTCGGCTATGAGAATAGTTAGCCAGTAATTTGTTTTAGATGCATAAAGCCCATTAGGGAAAGAATGTCATTGGCTACAAAATGAGAAGATTGCTAATTACTGAAATAAAATGCAAGAAGTAGCTGAGCAGGAAATGGGTACTTGGACATAAATCACAGCAGGCTTAGCTCTAATTTCACTGTCTTTTGAACATTTGGCGTATAGAAGGCAAAATATAGGAAGGGCTTGCTAGCACTGGGAATGCGACATAATATTTGTTAACATAAGTTATGAGGGCTTGCTAGCACTGGGAATGCGACATAATATTTGTTAACATAAGTTATGAGAGCAATTCTTGTGTATTGGGTTAGAATTTTCAATTTTTTTTTCCCCAAGTCAATCAGGTAGGGAGCAACTTATCCACATTTAGAAATAGAAATATGATTTGGTTCAATAAGTTTAGATTGCTTGTATGACCAGAGCATGATATATTTTCATTAATTACATTCAAAGGAAGAGGATAATGTTCCGGAGCCACTAAAATAGTGGTTTCGTCATAAATTTTTCAGTACTCTCGAAGCATGACCATGATGGCGGACACCGTAACGTAGTATGTGTACCAGGTTAGGATTAGGCCATAATTCCTGGTACAAATACTGCAGGAGTTCACTTGGCTAGTCCCAGACTCAATATGTACCAGGTTAGGCACCAAATTCCAGGTGTGTACCAGGTCAGGATTAGGCTATAATTCCAGGTACAAATACTACGGGAGTCACTTGGCTAGTCCCCGAACTCATAATAGGAATAAAAAAAGGAAAATTGTATAATAAAAATATGGCCTAATCCTAACCAGAAAGGAAAATTGTATAATAAAAATATGGCCTAACCCTAACCTGGTACACATACAACGTTCCGGTGTATCTTGGTTCACATACTTCGGGGGTGCCTTTTATTTCACCCAACAGTTTGACATAGTGCAGTCGAACATCAGTGAACAAATCTTGAACTACCACAAATGGTAGAATAAAAACACTGTGCCTTCTTGGTCAACGGATGTAAATCGTTTTATTTCGAAAAAATGTTATTTGGAACCACTGATTTTATGCCAATAAGCCTTCTCATTAAAAATATACAGCTTTGATATGTATGGCAATTCAGTCCTAAGTAAAGTTGCTATGGCTGTTATTCGAGTTCGAATGAGTGAGTTACTCGAGTCCCCCCAACATTGCTACCAAGGCCCACAGAAGACCGATCAATATGTTATTGAAACAACATTGTCTAACCCAAATTGCACCAATAGGTGAATTTCAGAATGAAAATGCTTGATATTTTTATAACAATGATGATGGGGCGCCACCATGCAGATACACTCACCGACTATTTATTAGAACAACAAACAAGTTGAAATAGAAGGCTGCTACTTCTCTTAATAATTAATGGCCATAACTTACATTTGATAACATTCTTTGACTGTGTTTTGATGCCAGAGTTTCCCAATTCATCTTTGGCCCAGACTTGGAAACGATATTTTTTATCAAGTGTAGGTGACTTCATTCTATACTGAGGAACCTCTGTAGTGTGAGTCTCTCCAAGTTTAACATCATCGCAGAAGATTTCTATGTTGTATAGAACGTTTCTGTCAGGTACTTCATTCCAAGTCAAGAGAATGTCGGATCCACTTCTTTGAGACGAAACATTTTCAATTTGCGGCAAAGCTATAAATGAATATTTCGACTTAGCATATTTCAATAAAGAAAAACATTTTCAATAAAAGCTGTGAACTTATATAAGCTGTGAAATTATTTCTGGGCAATTCATACAAAATTCATAAACAAAATCGAATATAAAATAGTAGTGAGTAGCAATTCAGATATTTTTGAATCAATAAAGCAGGCTTATAATAAAACAACTGTGAATGACTTTTTCAAGCAAAAGCGAAATACAAAGATTCATGTGCAACTAATAGAAAATCTAAGACTCAGTTAGCGATATATGCTAAAAGCAGGATGAAATGTTTTCATTGTAATTGGAGCTGAAATGGTATTTTCAAACTCAAAGTCAGGAGTAGAAGTTGAAATGTTAAATTATCTGGGTAATACAGTAATTTTAGACTTTTATGAATTTTTCACTGAAACTCAAAAACATGAAGTGGCTCAAGCATTCCTAACAGTGTATCAAAAAGGCATGTCCACGGCAATTAATTATAATTAAAATTTGATTTCCTTGTAGTTTGGAGCTGGAGTTGATATCTTCTCCAACCTGGAGTGGGTTATATTTGTCCAGTTTGGCAGTTGATTTGTGTGAAAATTTGTTTGAGGACACATTCAATTATTTCAGGGGTGTGCAACAGGTGGCTTGTGGGCCATAAACGTTCCCAAGCTATTCACCCACTAAACTGTTACATAAATTGGATTATATATTGTGGGAATTTTACAATTCTTTATGTTTATGGAAAAGCTAAATTTTTGTCTGGCCTAGCTAGATGTCTGAAGTTGGTTATATGGCCCACCGGCAAAAAATGTTGCACACCCCCTGTATTATTCAACATCTCAATGGTTCAGCACTTCCTCATAATTACAAGCATTTAACTCAGCCCAACGCCATCTGATTCTATTAATATGGCTGACTTACTATGCTGAGTTGGCTTTGCAAGTTCTTCCGTTACTTCTTTATCTGATTGTTCTGCTTCTTCTTCAGACAGTGGGAGTTCACTTCTGAAGATAAAATGGAGAATGCAAATGTATTAATTTTGATCATTGGTTAAAATAACAGCCCCTATTACTCGATTTCAAAACCCTTCTCCCTCACCCACAGCGTTAAAGATTGTGCACCATGTAAGCTGGTGGGCATGGGCTTTAAACCAAAGATTTCTAACCTGTGATAGATAATAAGTTCAACACTTTAACCACTAGGCTAGAAGTTCTCATGACGTGAAAATTAACAGAATTGTGTTAAACATAGCTGATATATGATTGAATTTTTTACATATTGTATTTATTATAAATGTTTTATTATTTCTCATTTTAAATGATGTGTATATGAATATATATGCTTATCAACAAGCAAACCTGAGCAATTTGTCAATTTGACATCAGATTTTAATGACTCATATGAATTTTATTTGAAATGGCTACAAGTGCAACCTCCTATCTCTGCGAAGCTGGGTTTTCAGCAGTGGTGTCAATCAAACAAAATACCCGTTACGTTTGGACATAGAGAGAGAAATGCATGTGCATAACAAGTATAACATCGCACTTTGAAAAGATGTGTTCAGAGCAACT